CCAAGAGTAAAAAAAAAAAAACCCTGGGGGCTACGGAGAGCTCTACCTACACTCACCTGCTCTATCCCACATTTCCTCCTGGAAATGGGGTTTTTCGAGCCGCCTTTGCGCTGTACAGGCGGCTCTTTACAGGCGAAGGGGCTGGCGGTCCCGAGGGACTGTCTGGTGGCTACGAAGAGCAAACCGGAAGCCATATTTCCATTTTTCTTATGGAAATCAGCAAGGTGAGAATTTTGGCTACCATGATTATCTGCTCTTTGAAAAAAAAATGCATCACAGCTGTTTCAAAAGTATAGAAACCTTTGGAATGTATTTTATTTTAATGCAAATCTACTTGCAGTTGCAGACTAGCACTTTTTCTTATGTTATTCTCACTTCTGACTGAGGTGAAATTTAGAGTAGTACTCACATGTGGTTATAATAAGAATTTGCAATACCAGTTGCTTATATTGTTTAACCAGATTCAATAAAAAAAATTCCCTTTTTTAAGAAAATGAAATAATAAGGAAAAAGAACAGAGAAAAATGAAATAGATTTTTAAATTGTTCTTTTCAGGAATATAGGAACAGCAACAGAAAACATTTCACAATTTAAGATCAGATCTGCATTCATTTTCATTCTGAGAATTGTTGGCTTCTATTGCTTTCATTAACTTTGTATCCATTACATCATTTCTCCCTGCTCAATCTGATCATTTTGAAATAAGAAGTGCTTTAATGTAGGAATGACAAAACTGAACTATGACTATGAAAGGCTTGGATTCAGATCTCAGCTTAATCATTAACCTATTGGTTGGAGTCAATAAACAAACAGTATCACATTTAAGTTTTCTGTTTGCAATATGAAGCAGTATAATACTACTTGTCAAGGCTGCATGAATTATATCATTAGAATTATGCAAATGAAATGTATCATTTTTTTAAAGATCAGAAATGATGCCTGATGATTTCTTAGGACATCTGTCCCTGAACTCTTGAGATACTACTTACAATTCTATGCATATATTTTTTACAAAAGACCTTTGAGTTTGTAAATATGTACTGTATGTGTTTAGTGCTATCCTTTCATCTCTTTGCTGTGTTTATATATAGAAGACAGAACAATTGAATACTTACATTGCATTTGTGCAGAATCAGATAATTTATTACATCAACTGTCTGTATTTTGTAAGCTCAATGATGGTAAAATATGCAGCTATTTTAATGAGTTGCAGATAGATGCTGTGTTATATTCCAGTGTATTCTGAAGCATCTCTTCCTAATTTAATACAAAAGATTTAAAGTCCATATAATAGCAGGTTGCCAACTATTGAGTATCTAAGCCTCCACCTTCATCTCAAATTCCTTGCTTTGTGTTTGTTATAGAACAAATCAGCATCTTCTTAAAATATTAGTCATTTGTATTTTTCTTAAACTTTAAAAGACTTTCAATATAATACAGCATGAAATGTTCTAGTAGTTGCAGTTGTTTTCATATTTTGCTGTAATTCTGCTTCTGTTTCACTTGTCATTTTTAGATTGATTATTTGGCAATATTGCTGTATAGCAATTGTTGTATAGCAATTTTACCTTTCATGTTGTTTAATACCTACATGAGCTTGCTAGCGTGATTGTGTGTTGAAATGTCATCAACAGATTGTTTTGTCTCTGGTTTTTTTCCCCCCCCTGAATTGCCAATTGACAGAAAGTAGATATTTGTGTACAAGCAGAACCTTGAAAAACTGAATATGCACTTTGGAGGAAGAAGCTACTCTGACAATCAAATATTGTCACTAATGACCTCAATGGCTAGGAATACCTTTTATCACCAAAGACCTTTATCAGTCATATATTCATGAAAGTTCTTGTTTAGGAGTACTGCAATGCACCATTTGAAGATGATTTGGGTGCTTCAATTAATCCAAAATAGAACTGCAGGATTGCTGAAAGTGGGTGACTGATCTGTCCTAAGTGACTTGCATTATTCTCCATGTTACCCTGGCTTTTAATCTATCTTCTTATGTCTGCATCAATTGCCCTATTCATGTTAACAGCTGTAACCATCTAATTCACAGTCACTTAAATCCTAAAATCCTCTGGTGCTTACCTAAGCCAATCAAAGAGATCTCAAGAGTTCAGGGACAGATGTCCTGGGAAATCATCAGGCATCAGCATCTGGTTAAACCAACTGAAAATCACAGCTGGTTTTTTAAATTTTTATTTTACTATTCCTTACCATTCTTCCCTATTTCTGACTATCAGGTCAATTCAAGCATCTAGTACCTCTTTTAAGCTGAAAAGAACTGCATTTGTATTTTTACTGTACTGTAATATGAATCCACCATCTATTTAGCATATCCTTGTTAACAAAGGATTTACTTTGGATTTTTAAAAACAGTTTGAGTTGAGTTGCCTGTTAAATGGAATTCAAGCATACTTTTCAGGAAAAGAGAACCAACTGTGAATGGCTGAAATGATAATGCAATACTAACAGATTGTTAGCTGAATCGGCTACTTCTATTTGGGTATTTAAAACCCAGACCTGATTCAGAATATCTTAAGTATACCTTCCTTTACAGATTCCTATTTGAGCTTCCAATTACCCTTGCAGGTTTTCCTATGAGTTCTGATGGAAATGAACTTAAGTGACAAAGGACAAGACTTTCTTAGTTATGGGCTTCCATTTATAAGTGTCTTCATTAGAGATTTATTTGGCGCACACCAGGGTGGATTTGATTTAAATCAACTTGATTTAAATCATAATTTTTAAAGAGCAACTGTCATCTCTGTCCCACAGTAGCTCCTCCTCTGACCTACTGTTGACTCACCAACAGTCCCAATATTGCGGAATATATAGCCTCATGCTACATAACTAAGTTCCATTTCATGCTGAATAAAGTAATTATTAATGTATCTTAAATAGAAAACTATATTTAGATAGATTTTTTACTCCAAAAGCATTTTATTAAAATAAATTTGTTATAAATAAAAAAATCCAATTTAAATACCTCCCCCCCCCGATTTTTTTGATTTTTTTAAAAAAATCATTGATTTTTATCCACCCTGGCACACACACATTGGACACTTCCACAATACATACAACCTTCTATCTTCTAGAACCATGGTGGCACAATGGTTAGAATGCAGTACTGCAAGCTAACTCTGCTGACATTGCTAGGAGTTTGATTCCTTCAATCTTGACTGGCTCAAGGTTGACTCAGTTTTCCATCCTTTCGAGGCTGGTAAAATGAGGACCCAGATTACTGGGGGAAATATGCTGACTCGGTAACCCACTTAGAGAGGGCTGTAAAGCACGGTGAAGTGGTATATAAGTCTAAGTGCTATTGCTATCTCAAATCCTCTCTAGTTTGAACTGGATCTGCTGCTTGTAATCCTTGATTCCCCAAAGGGGAAAGTGAATACCCAAAGATTCCTCTGAGCATCATGGTTGTAAAAAAAAAAGGCTAAATAAATGAATAGTGGAACTGAACCAGAAATAAACCTGCATTGCAGATTTAGGTGAAGTCCTGATTTCCGACATTTGAAGCTACTTCTGAACTAGTACAGAGTTCTTTGAAAGCATCAATTAATGTCTTTTTGATGCCAGGGCACTACTTTTGATTTAAGAGCTAACATTAGATTGATGTGTGTATGTAGGCATGTGCGTTATTAATGTATGGTAGTTTTCTCTTTTTATTTTACTGTTTAATATTTATCTTTAAAAATGTTTAGGGGTCAGCAATTACTGAGCAGATTAACAATGCACATGCACGCAAATAAATTAGGTATCCTCTTTTGATCCAACTTTCCCTTCGTTATACAGCCTCAGCCTCAGCTGCTTTGGTGGGCAACGATCACGCTCGATAGACCAGGCTAAGATGCTGCGAAACTGAACGGAGGGATTTGCAATAGATCTTTCAGAGGGGATTCTGGGTTGTCACTTTGCAGCCCTGCTATTCTCGGCGCTCATCCGAGCGCTCCTGCACTGCACTTCGGTTTCGTCCTCAACACAGGAGGGAGACAGAGGCCGTCTTTTGCAAAACGTTTCACGCCGCCGACTTGTGAGCCGCGGCCGCCAGTAGGCGCTCTCGCCTCAGTCAAGAAAGCAAGAAGGGCTACATCGAAAGAGTCCGCCTGAGTTTAACGAGCACTCTTTCCTTACTTACCACTCGGCCGGCAGCCCACCTGAGGGGTCCGACTCTACTCCCGAAGGCTCGCCGTTCGCCCGCCAAGAGGACAGGTCAACCCTCCAAGGGGCGTCCAGCTCCTCAGAGGAAACATTGGAACCAGGCGCGCCGCGACTTTCTCGACCTGCCGATCACTACCGGACTATTCCCCGGATTACCCGACGGCTGCCTCATTCCTTCTTCACTTTCTCTGCGCCTGAAGGAGAAGGGCGCGTCTGTTCAGGGGCGCTCTTCGACTGGAACCGTTCCTGCCTAAGGGAGACGCGGCCGCTGGGTTTTCTTATGCAACCCCTCCGACTCGAGGGCGGAACCTGCCCGCGTGAGGACCCCGGAGCGTGGAAACGCTCTCGGAACCGCCGCGCAGAACCCGAGCGTGAAGCCGAGACCCGACGCCAGTCCCGATTCGGCGGGGCCGTTTGGGATTTGACACCTCGTTAGCCAATAGGATCTGTTGGCGATGCGTCCAGAGCCTAACAAAGCATTTTAAGGGATCCACGACCTTCCGACGGGGACTCGCTTTTCATTTTCTCCCTCCGTTTCAGCTTCAGCCCAACTGATCATCCTCGCTCCCGCGTAGGAAGAAAAGAGGAGATCCTGTCGAACGTGGCTGTCTGGGAAGAGGGAGGCGAGAGGCCATCCCTCTGGAGAAGTGCGGGCAGCCGGCCTCGGCTGAAGGAAGACTTTCCTTTTGCCGGGAAAAAGCAGTCAGCGGGTCGGAGGGAGAGGAGCCTAAAGAGTCTCTCTGTGTTGGAAATTCGCCCGAGATGAAATAACAGAGCGTGGGGATGCCTCTGTGCGCGCTTGGACCCACGCGCACCCACTCCTGCGGAGTTTCTCGCCTTCCCTCGGAGGATCGGAGCGTCGCCGCTCTGTGAGAGGGCGGGAAGCACCCGAGGCTGCTATTCTAATTTGTCTTTTCCTCTCCTGCCTGCTCTTTTCTGCGTTTTGTATGGTTGCAGTTGGGAAATTGGGTGAGCACATCGGTTCCTGCTCCCGAACTACCTTCTCCACTTTGCCTCCTGATTTATTTCCGAGCAATAGAAGTCTGCTCTCCTCAGAAGACCGAGAAACAACGGCTGCGATACTTTAATAATTATTTAATAAGAAGTAACCCTCCCGCCATCTGAAGTAACCATCCTCTTCCTCCTCCTACTATTTTTCACCCTTGACACCCCCCTCGCCCCTCCTCCCCCCATGCCACTGGATGCTGAAGACGGATTGGGAATTTGTAAGCGATGCAAGTCCGATAAAGCTGGAGTCTCCAGCCGGGACGTGGAGCAGGTTCGCTAGGTAGTTCCTTAAAGAAGCGGGTCTGCAGGTAAGTAAGAAAAAGGGTCGCAAGCGGCGACTTCCTCCATCGACGCGCTGGTCTCGGGAGAAACCGCTCTCCCTATTCAGAGGCACAAGTTAAGGTGGATAATTGTTTTTTAATATCCAGTCACTCTCTTTTTTCATAGGTTTTTTTTAAAAAACAAAACCTCCAAGTGGTGAAAAGATAGGTGGGGCTGAGCTTGTTAATGGTAAAGTGCTGCGGTTAAGCCATCCCTGGGGAATGCTTAAATTGGCGTAGTTATTCTGCAATCCTTGGTCTGGAATAGGGTGTGTATGGACGCTGCATAGGGACAGAGGGAAGGTGGACAAACCTGTATCTCTCTCTGTTACCCCAGTAGATCCACTTTTTGAGCAATCGCTACCCTTAAACCGCAAAATACATTGAAAGGAGCCCTCTAGATTTCAACATTGTTGGCAGGGCTGGGCAGGGGAAGCTGGACAAAGACTAGTGCTTGTTTGCAACAAAAATCAGTTAACACTCTACCTTTATTAGTGTAGCACTGAAGGAGTTAAATATGTCTATGGGTGACAAAAGCCTTCTTGCTAGGCATTGTGCATTGGCATTCTTGTGTTAGCCATTGTTCTGGATTTGTTAGTGCATGGGGTGGCTTTCTCTACAAGGCATATTTAGTCTTGAAAGAGATCCACTTCTTCAGGAGTCAGTTGTGACACCTAACTGCTTCCCTATCACTACCCCATATTCAAGTGATTTCATTTTGGTTTGGTGTATATGGAAATTGAAATATATTTGGTAAAAATGCAAGGAACTAGGAATTTGCTTTTGAATATTTTACTCTGTTAAAGTGGGGTTAAATTGGTTTGGAAGACAAACTCTGCAATTTTATTCTGAGTGGATTAATGTCTGGAAGTAAGTATTGTTTTTTTATAAAATAAAATTTAATTTGTATTAAATTAGCTCATTTGGATTTGATAATATGTGCTGACTATATATGTAAAATCTTTTTTTGAAAATCTGACCCTACCTGTTTCTTATTATTTGAGCCTTCATTTTTCTTTCCTTACTTGCTATATATATGCAGGTGGACTGTCTGTGAGAAAGATTAATTTCTTCAGTAACATAATGAGCAAGAGTGATAACTTCCAAGCCTCATATATCCTGAGATTTTAATTTTGTTTGGATACCAGCTACTTTCTTAGATGGCTTAAATGAGAGGTTGAAGTGTTCAGGAATTGTTTTAGGAATGTATCTGTGAGAAATAAAAAGGTTTATGAAGTATAATGCTTACAACTTAAGTTCTTCTTGTGTAAATGTTGTCCAGATTGCGATATATTTTGCTCATTTTAGTGTGTCGACTAAGTAACAGTATAGTATAGTATAGTATAGTATAGTATAGTATAGTATAGTATAGTAGTACAGTATAGTATAGAGTGTAGTGGAGTATGGTACTATGGAGTATGGTACTATGGTGCAGTATAGTAAGGTATTGTATAATATAGATTGTGATTTTCTTTTTTGCTGGATTACCTTTCTGAATTCAATCAATAGTGAGGCTATTCCCTATTTTAACAAAAGCAAGAGTTGTGAAATACTTCCTTCCTTTGTAGCTATGGATTTTAAGATTGTAATTAAAGGATTCTGCTGGTTTCCGCACTTCAAAGATGTATAGTGATGTGTTTCCTTTTTAATTATGTTGTCCCTCTTTTTAATCAATTTGATAATTGATGGATGCACTTACATATTCAGTGTTTACTTATACTTATTTCTACTTATATTTTTCAAGCAATAAATAGTCCACCAGTTGAAATATTTGTAATATTTTGGTCTCCAGTCTTTACCTTCATCCAAAAACCAGGAACAGTATTTTGTTTGCAGCGCAGAGTTCATTTAAATTATCTGATCTTTGAGTTTTATCATCTAGCTTCAGATACAGGCATCTGAATGTTACCTTCTTTGAAAATGATGTTCTTAGTCAATCAAACTAATTTAAAAGAAAACAAATTTCCAATTTCATATTGTATTCAAAGCATTGACTTTGAATTAAGGACTTTTAATCTTAACAAAGTATATTTGCTTGTACGTATATATATAAAATTGAGCTGCCAAAATTCTTTTCAAGCATCAGAACAAACTACTATGCAGGTTGCTGAATACCATGTCCTAGTATTTAAAGAACAGTATTTAAACTTTTTTTTAAAAAAAAGGTTATTAGTATTTCTAGTTGGTTCTTTACTAGTTTTATGTTCACAGTTATTTATCAAGTGATTTTGCAACTGAGAATATAGGGAATTGAAGAATGTAAATATTTCAAATTTCTTTGTTCCACAGTTTTCAAATCTCCTAGTTTACAAAGCCTAATTTTGATACTTTTTTGGAATAAAATGCTAATTTCCAAATTCTTCAGATTTCTTCATTAAGCAAGTTGTTTTTTAAAAACGCATTTGGAGACAGAAAGAAAAGGAAAAATGGATTTGAGGTAAGTCATTAAGTTGCTTGCTCAGAGTTTAGATGGAATAAGGGAAGCAATATAGTCATTCAAATTAGGCTCTACCTAGTTCTTTAAATTGCATCCAGAATAGCTTCTAGGGCTACTGAAGTGATAATTGTTGTCATTATGTGAATATGAACTATTTCTATAGCAAGTTGTGGCTAATCAAATGTATGTTAGATAGAACATGATTGCCAGATACAGAATTCTGCAGAGCTCTGAGCTACAATATTCAACTGGATGTATGGCTCAGTGGATTTTTTAATTTCTTACATGGGCATATTTTCCAGGAATTTCTTCCAGGAAATTGTATACACACACACACACACACACACACACACACACACACACACAATATGGAACAAATTTTAAACATCATTGCAGATAGATTTCTACTTATAGCGTTTAGCATTTAATTCTTTCTACTTACTTTTCAATAACATTGGATTTTTCTGTCACATCGAGGTATACAAAATATGGTTTATAAGCGAGGTGCCATCACAGACCACATGAGCAGTCAATTGCATTTGAGAAGCATATCTAAATAGTCTGGCGTGAAAGATATTTAAGATGTTTAAAGATACTTAAGATCTCTAAAGGAAAAGGTGCTCAAACTCTGAAATACCATAACTTTCTGGTAAAAGTAATTGTGTAACCTCCTACAGATAAAGCAAATTAGTTCATTGGATTATTAGTGCTCAAAAGTTGAATTTAAACATGTAATATGTGACATTTTAGAAAGTTTCAATCCTTTTTTACATGACTTGTGATCCACTGAAAATAAGGATAGCACCAGTTGCTGGCATTTTGCCTCTAGCAGGAGAGAAGTTACCAGTGGAGCTGCAAATTGTATGCAGGAGAGTTTCCATTGGCTCATGGACTGGCAAGTAGATCTTTAACTTGGCTATGAGCTGGAGCCTTTGGACTGTGTGTAACTCTGTAATAGTTAAAGCTGTGTAATTGGCATTGGATGAACATGTACAGAAGCTTTTTATCAAATCAATCCACTAATCTATTTACTTGAGTATTATCTGGTCTGACCAGCCATAGACTGATAGATGTAATGAAGGTACATCTTTTGTTGTTGTTGTTGTTGTTTACTTACACTCTTAGAATAGAAGTATTATAACTATTAGTCTTATCTGGGCCTCATATTAGGGGCCTCAATAACTCCCCCAAATTTTATGGGGGTGTTATAGCCTTTTCTTGTAAGTTTTTATATTTGTTACTCACCACTGGAAGGCACTATATGACCAGTTTTGTCCTTGCAGTGGAATTCCTCAGGCATAAGGATGCTATCTATGCCTGATGAATCCCAATACAAGATAACACTGATTGCACAGTGATTCCTATGGTTTTAATTTTTTTAATTTAGTATATGGCACTCCTAGTAGTCAGTGGCAAACATAACATGCAACATAGTGGTTATAGATCTTCAAGACTTCCATAAAAAGAACTTCAGTAACAGTGTCGTTAATGCCTGGAATGCACTACTTGACTCTGTGGCTTCTTCCCCAACCCCCAAAACTTTAACCTTAGACTGTCTATTGTCGACCTCACCCCATTCTTAAGAGGTCTCTAAGGGGAGTGCATAAACGCACCAGCCTACCATCCCTGTCCTAATGTTCCCTTTTATATATATCCATTTCATGTATTCATAATTATGTTTATACTTATATCTGTTACCGATTACATGCTTGACAATAAATAAATAAATAAATAAAATTACATGGGATCCCATGTCACTTTTTAAAGGATCAACTTTTATTTATTAAGCAGCACTTTAGGAAAAATCCATAACTCAAATCGCTAAACTATATAATGAAACGGGGCCAATATTTGAATATTCACTGATCATATGGTATTAAATAATAGGGATTTGTATAAATATTTAGTCATCTAAAGATCATTTTGTACCAACCATGTACCATTCAGTTTAGTTCAAGTAATAATCAAGATAAATAACCTTGAGTATCTCTTTATTCTGGAGTACAGGAAGCTACAGAAATAACATCATTTCCCTTGGAAATGTATTTTAAATTTAAATTTGTATGAAATAAGTCCACAGTTAGTTGTAGGAGCTTACTTAACTCACTGAGATATTTCATTAATAAAAATAATTACACACACAGACGCACATGCATGCACACAAACCTCATTGGATTGGGTTATTTTAAGATAATATTTTTTTGGATTATTTAAAACTTTACAAATAGAGAACAGCAATTAAACTTTGTTTCAATTATTAAATATCAGAAACTAAAATACATCTTTAGTAGAAAATAGTAATATATATTTTTTAAAAAGGTAGGTTTTTTTGTCTTTGGTACAAGCAAAGCATCAATTGAAATTGAAAAAAAAATTGAATATGGTGTGACTATATAAAAAACTCATACAATTTACAATTCTGTTAGCAAGGTTTACTTTTATCTTCTTTTAAATATATCAGTTGTGCTTTATATATTATTTTTAAATATAAAGCCATATTGTGACTTTGGAGAACTGTATAATTTTATTGAAACTGTTATTGTTTTAAATATAACTTCTTACTAAATTATTACTATAATTATACTTTCTGGTTTCTTAAAAATCGAGTAGCTAATGAATTGAATATAATAAAAATGCTCTATAAAATATTTAGATACTGCTATTATTAGCTTTCAAGCTTACTAACTTAATGGGACTGAATTTTCTATAAACATTACTAGGATTGCATTTTCAGTATTAAACCTATATTCCATGTCTATCGTAATGTAAATGCAATATATATGGAAACTTAATGGGTACTATGTCTTTCCTGAAAAGATTGGTGTTCATAATTATAAATTAATAGTATATTAGTAATGCAGGCCTGTGCATATAGAAGCAGTAATAAGCACACTGAGTTCACTAAAGCAGATGGAATTATATAACTGTAGTCAAATAATTCAAGTATAAGGCTTCATATTAAAGGCTGTGATTAAAATATGAGCTTTTAGTATATCAGCATTCAACATGCACAAATCATTTTTCTTTTTCTTGGACTGGAAATTACTGAAATCTATATTTTTACAGTTAGACTGTTATATAAATGTATTTTCATGAAATTACCTGTATAAGCAAGTTGATGGCATCTGAAAGTCTGGGGATGCGAGTAGAACGGCAGCTCAGCTTACTTGAGCCTGATGGTATCTCTAGACATGTTGCCTCAGAGTTTTAGTCTACCTGTCTGGCAGGTGTTGTTGAATAAAGCTTTTGTCAATTCTGTCTAGTATTTTGAAAGTTAATCCACAGACTTTTCCCTTCTCACTAAGAGGTACCTAATAGCAATGTTCATGTTTTAATTTTATATTTACTGGTTTTCCAATCAATAATTCCTGATAAACCCTTTATTATCTCAGGTACTTATCTAGGGATGTAGTGTAAAACTTGTCAACTCCATAATAATGCAATTCAAATAGGTTTTGGGTTTTTTCATATTTGAAAATATAATTTATAGGGAGAGAGATTTACAGTGGTATTTATGAGGATGATATTCCAAATAGACACAAATAACAAGAACAAACTCACTCCAAAATTCTTTGGAATGATAGTAGGGATTTAGGGAGAAAATAATGTAGCCTATGTAGAATTCTGTGTATTATATATACAACATATACTTCAACTTGAAAGTATGTAGCTATATTCATAGTTGGAAAGCTTTTAAGATTCACTTTTCAAATGTATGTCAAAGTATAAAGCCTGTCACATGGATGCTTGAATGCAGTGGTGGGTTCCAAATTTTTTTACTACTGGTTCTGTGGGTGTGGCTTGGTGGGTGTGGCATGGTGGGCATGGCTTGGTGGGCGTGGCAGGGGAAGGATACTGTAAAATCTCCATTCCCTCCCCAATCCAGGGGAAGGTTACTGCAAAATCCCCATTTCCTCCCGATAGCTGGGACTTGGGAGACAGAGAATAGATGGGGGCGGGGCCAGTCAAAATTTTTACTACTGGTTCTCCGAACTACTCAAAATTTCCACTACCAGTTCTACATAACTGGTCCGAACCTGCTGAAATCCACCTCTGCTTGAATGGTGGAATAAGGAAAGCTTGCTAACCTTCTCCTGCTTTGCTTTTACTGTATTTATAGCATAATGTATGCATTTGATACCTATGACCTCTTATTGTTGACCCTTAAAAAAGCATCCGTTACTGTTAATAGTTATATAATGTTTTGTCAAATGTTTCTTTTGATAATGTCAAGGAAAGTAAACTATGCTATTGATAACCTATTTTGAAAACTGAATCATTCCAGAACACTCCTGGTAAGAATGTGTTCATATTGTGTCTTCCAATCTTTTCCTATTTCCAATTTTGAGTAAAAAAGGTTTCCAATATTAACACACTAAATCTACTTTAGTCTCTAAGAACCTTTTTGCTTTAGAACAATGATTGTGCTAGTCAATAGCAGTGCTATTGGACAAATGCTCCAGAGATGTCAACTAAATCCCCCCCCCCACCATATTTGAAGTACATGACAACAATAGCAATAAAAAACAGCACTGATTACATTGCAGCATACCATATGGGCCACAGGCATAAAATGGAACAGCGCATTGCACAAGAGTTATTTATTTGTTTATTATGTTATTTGTGTACTGATTGGGTCTGTATGGACTCCAGTGGTTTACAACAATAAAACAATATTAAAGAGAAACAATGCAACACATTACAGTAATACAGAGGTCCTATTTATTATCCTCCAAGTGCTTTCTGGAAAAAAAAAACTCTTTTTACTAGCTTCTGGGCAGTCATTACTATGGTTGTTAACCTCATGAAGGGAATAAAGGAAAAACATTGGTGCTTTTTTCAGCTGTCAGCCACATTCCTTCTAAACTAGGTGCCCAAGGCCTGATGTCTTTCGAGCAGCAGTTGTGTTGGCCTCTGGGCTGTGGGGGGGGGGGGGAGACATTTTTCAAAAAGTACATAATACATTTTAAATGTATAAACATCCCAAATTATTAACAAAA